AACATGTTTCTTATATGTTTGGATTTAATTGGTCAGGTTCAGTCGCTTGTAGGAAAGACCAAATGCTACAGTCCAAAACTTTGAAAATCATCGAAGAATAGAACAACTGAAATAAACCATAAAAATTAGTATACAAACAAGTTGGAACAAAGACTAAGATTAAAATATTATGCAGTTGTTATTATAGCACACTTATAGACGTTTTCTCAATCTCTGAGTTTATCGTAGCTGTGTGCCTGTCTCATTCTTCCAACCTGGTGGCAGGGGAAAAAAAAATTGCTCGGTCAAAAACTTCATTACTCTTTTGGAATAGAACTTTTGAAAATTTAAAAAAAAAAAAATCAATGAGCTTTTTTCTAAAGAATCAATTTTGGCCTAAACTAGTTTTGTTGGAGTTCATTTTGTTGATTCTCGAATAAGAAATCTGGTTTTCTTTATGACAATTCTTTAATGCTGTGCCGTCTCCGCAGTCCCCATCTCCCTTCTCCTGGAACCAAGTGAAATTTCTAGTTCAAAAAAACAGAAAGAGAAAAGACAAAGTTTCCCTTGTATAAACGACTCCGAAACTTGTTAATCTCAATTAATTTCCAAGGTCTCAAACATGGCTGATTTCCAAGGCTATATCATGCTTTTCCTGATATGGCTAGTCTCCACCATTCTGGTCAGAGCAATACTGAACAAAACTCGAACCAAACCCCGTCTTCCACCGAGCCCATTGGCCTTGCCAATCATTGGACACCTTCATCTCCTTGCCCCAATACCTCACCAAGCTCTTCACAAGCTCTCAAACCGCTATGGACCATTGATTCATATATTCCTTGGTTCTGTCCCTTGTGTTGTTGCTTCTACACCTGAAACTGCGAAAGAGTTCCTCAAAACTCATGAAACTTCTTTCTGTGATCGTCCTAAGTCAGCCGCAGTTGATTTCCTAACATATGGATCGGCTGATTTTTCATTTGCCCCTTTCGGCCCTTATTGGAAGTTCATGAAGAAAATTTGTATGACAGAATTTCTTGGAGGTCCAAAGTTAGACCAGTTGCTTCCAGTTAGGCATGAAGAGATAAGGCTGTTTATACAGTTTTTGCTAAAGACAGCAAATGCAGGAGAGTCAATTGATGTTGGAAGTCAACTTATAAGGCTAACCAATAATGTTATATCAAGAATGACAATGAGCCAAAGTTGTTCGGATAAAGATGATGAAGCCGACGAGGTCAGGAAGTTGGTGCACGAAGTAGCTGAGCTTACAGGAAAGTTTAATTTGTCAGATTTTATTTGGTTTTGCAAGAACTTGGATTTGCAGGGATTTGGAAAAAGGCTGAAGGAAGTCCACAAAAAGTTCGATGCAATGATGGAAAGGACCATAAAGGAGCATGAAGAGGTGAGGAAGATGAAGAAAGAGACTGGTGAAGGTGAAGGCGATTCAGGGAAGGATTTACTTGATATTTTGCTTGATATATCAGCAGATGATAGCTCAGAAATGAAACTGACCAGAGAGAATATTAAGGCATTCATCCTGGTAAAGTCTATAAGACGCAACTTTTATTATACAATACAAGTCCCTATAGTTCCCACAGTTAAATTCTACTATGAAGAAGCAATCTGAAAAGTTTATTGGATCGTTGATAATAATGGAAATAAAATTCCCAAAAATTGTTTAGACAACAAATGTTAAGATTTCCTAGTCCCCAAAATAGAATTCTTGGTTAGAAAATGCCGGGAGATAATTCATAATTTCTGATAAGCTTCAGAATCCTTACCTATGTTATTATGATTACAAATTCAAACTTCCAACTCTGTTTAGGCATAGATTTTGAAAATCCTAAACTGTCTCAAAGTCAAATCTAGCTAAGTAGTGCAACGTTTCTTAGCAAATATCTTACAGTTGAAGCCTCTTTTCTTCCTGAAGTTGCTGACTTCCTCAAATCAAAAGAATAAGGTATCATATTTATAATAAACAACATCAAGACAGTCTATGACATTAGGCAAGATAAAATGCTCCCGAGTTTACCAAATAAAACGAAGCATTGTGTGTTCTTGACTTAAATTCCAGCAAATATGTTATGTAGTCTTTTTAGCCAATTTGTTCCAGTGCAATTCCTGACAGGAAATCAGAAATAGATAACATGATAATTCCTGCATTGCACAGGACATATTCGCCGCCGGCACAGACACATCTGCCATTACCATGGAGTGGGCAGTAGCAGAGCTAATCAACCACCCAAACATCATGGAGAAAGCAAGAGAAGAGATTGATTCTGTTGTAGGACAAAGCAGAATAGTGCAAGAATCAGACATTGCTAACCTGCCCTACCTCCAAGCTATATTAAAGGAAACACTGAGGCTTCACCCTACTGGTCCAATGATTCTGAGAGAATCAACTGAAAACTGCACCATCAATGGCTACGAGATTCCAGCAAGAACCAGGCTCTTCGTCAACGTGTGGGCTATTAATAGAGACCCAAACTACTGGGAGAACCCACTTGAATTCCGACCAGAGAGGTTTCTTGGCACAGAGGGAAATGGAAAGAGTCAATTGGATGTGAGGGGTCAACATTTTCACTTTCTTCCATTTGGAAGTGGAAGAAGGGGGTGCCCTGGAATTACATTAGCCCTTCAAACGGTTCAAACAGGCCTTGCTGCTGTTATTCAATGCTTTGATTGGAAGGTTAATGGTACTGTTGACATGGCAGAGGGAACTGGTTTAACACTTCCAAGGGCCCATCCCTTGATTTGTGTCCCAGTGGCAAGGCTCAATCCATTTCCATCATTCTGATTTTGTCATAATTAAAAGGTTTAAAATACATGGTTTTGAAATGGGAGACATAAAATTAGTCATGTGTCCGATTTGTTCTACTCTCATTTTCACCAACGATCATAACTCTGATAGATTGCTAGTGCTATGCTTTTCTTCTGACAGTAGTATGTGTGAACTGTGTTATTAATACACACACAATACAAGACCCTCTACTAATTTTCATTTTATGTTGCTTTTTATTAATTAATCTATTTATTTTAATAAATAAATAATATGAAAAAGATTGATGAGAAAAAAAATATTTTTTAAATAAAATAATATTAAATTAAATATAATCAATACTAATGAAGTGATTAATTAATTAATTAATTTTTTACATTAAATCAACTATTTAATTCATTTTAAAAAATTAAAAAGACTGATTTATAATTTACTCTACTTAATCTTATCTCGGCAACACATAAAGAAACTTCTTTATTTTGCATAATTGTATGATAATATACTCAAACCATTATGGATGCAAATATTGTTTACCAAATAAAATTAGAGACCGTATAGAATCTTTTATCAAGTTTTGAGAATATTCTAGGACAAATTTTAAAAATGGCTCCCAATTATGTAGATAGTCTTGATTTTGACCTCAAACAAATTTCTTTATCAATTTTATCCTCCAAATTTTAGAAATATTAATTTTTTTTTCATACTCGATTATTTATTCCATCGTGATTTACCATTTTTTTGTAATAAATGAGCTATTTTTATAGGGGATTTAATCTTTTTTTTAATAAAAAAGTTGTCATAAAAAATCTGCAAATCAAAATTATTTAGAGATAAAACTTCGATAAAAAATTGTTTGAAGATAAAATTGATACTAGCTGTGGTAAATTTTTGAGGTTTGCCCAATAATTCATATGAATCTTCTCCTCTCCGTTTCTTTACCAAACTCGTCAGCCATCGACATCAAAAGCGTGAATAACAAAACTAAAAAAATAGAATAAGAAACACAAAATAAATCCGAAAGTAGACAGAAATGAGGTGGCACGTCTAACACATGGGACCCATATCCACCACCATTTCATTAGCCAACGGCCAGCTTTATGTCTCCTTCAGCACACTGTTTTTAGCGAAACTATTAGCCACATAATACATAAGTTGAATTTCTTATATATATATATATATATATATATATGCGAAACTTATTATAAAATTAATTTAAAAATCTTATGTTTTTACGAGAAAACCGATTTATTGAATAATTTTTATATTATTTTATCTAAAAAAGATTGTTGGTTTTAATTTTTTACAATTAAAAAAATTATTAATTGTTATTTTAACTTGATAATTTTTGTTCTTTTTTTAAAAAAATATTTTTAAAATTGTATTTGAATTTTTTTACAAAATATATTTTAATAAAAAATGATTTTAGAAAAAAAATTTCAAAATTTAATCAGATGAGTATTTGAAAACATTATATATATATATATATATATATATATATATATATATATATATACTAAAGACAATCTTTTTATAAGAGAGATACCTTTTTTTCCCCCTCAATATCTCTTTTTGTTTTAGAGGACTAGATTAGTTTCTCTCTCTCTCTCTCTTTTTTTTTTTTTAAATAAAATAAAATTGAATCCTATTCGTCTCTCGATTTTCTAACAAAGTCTTAATCAGGCAATCAGTCTGTCTGTTTAGGTCTGACCCCATTTTATCTTCTCTTTCTCTCTTACTTTTCCTTTTATTTTTTCTCTCCTTCCCAATGGCAGTTGATTCATAATACAGACTGTCTTCTCCCTATCTTCTATTGTTTTAATCTCTTCTTTTCTCTTAACTTATTTACAATGTCTTTGGTTCATTGCATCCGATGATTATGTTTTTGCTATCTTTTCCATGTTTTAATTTGTTTTATCAGATCTATATTCTGTTACTTGTTTTCACAATTTTTTTTTTTTTGAATAAAAATCTAATCTTTTTTTCTGTTTTTTTCATTGAATTTTCTTCAGCTTTACAAACAAATTTAACCAATACTTGAGAGAGTGTTGTGAATAATAACTTCTGGGATTATTTTTACATCAATGCAATTCCAATCACATTGTAATCTCAAATTTTCTCTTCAAAATTATCATATGTTTTGAAAAATTATATTCTGGGCTTCTTTTAAATTAATCAAATTTGGATTTAATTTCTCATAAAGTTCATTCATTTTCAGTGATTGCAATTCTGGGTTTCTCGCAAAAAAATGGTAACAGTCAATATAGGAATGCTCCATTATGTAATAGACCATATTTATGGAGCATTTATGCACAGAAGCAAAATAAGCCCACCATTCTTTTCTAGAGGATGGGGTGGTTCAAAGCTTGAGCTTCTAGAGAGAATGATTAAGGACTTGTTCCCCGAAGTTGAAGGCCAAAATTTGCCTCCAAGATTAATACAACCTATTTGGAGAACGGTTTGGGAGACCAAAACTGCTTGTTTAAGAGAAGGGGTTTTTAGGACTACTTGTGATGAACAGTTGATTAGTGCATTGCCTCCTGAGAGTCACACTGCAAGGGTTGCTTTTCTTTCACCCAAGTATGTCCAGCCACAGAAGATGGCCTGTGTGGTTCATCTTGCAGGTAACACGGTATATCTTTGGCCCTTGAATTTGAATATAATAGCTATAGTTTTAGATTAATTTTTTTAGTTCTAATTTGTGAATATTTGTACAGAAAATTTAGATGATATTTTATGTTGATTGGCGAAATTGCAAAATAGTGGTTTCTATGTGCTTGAAGTTGGTTAAATGGCCGTTTGATATTATTAGTCCAGTTTAATACTTGTATCTGAAATGTTAGGTTGATTGTAAAATGAGTACGGGGGTTGCCTTTGTTGGCAGTGTGAAGATGGCTAATATGGACTGGATGCTAAACCATAGTTTTAAATCGCATATGTGGTTGTAAAAACAGTCGCGATGGCGATTGCAGGTCGCAGCAATCGATATTGCGAAGGCATTAGCATGCCAGCAGCTTTTAATAAATTTATTCTAACTCATATATTTTTAATAGTTTTACTAATTAAGCATAATAATATCTTTAATAGTTTAATATCTTGAATTTATTACAAAAAATATATATATAATAACACTTTTCTAATAGTTTAATATCACACAAACAATAATAAAATACAAAGAGTCATTTTTTTCTTTTTTTATAACTGTCCTTATTTACCAAATAAGGGCAAATAATGGCATTATATAACAGTAACAGCATATAACACCTTTTTTTGTCCATAATGCCATTATGCTCTCTATAACAGCATATAACAGTAACGGACATGGTCGAATCTGTTATATAACGGCCGTTACGTTATGACTTGTTATTTGAAACCATGTGCTAAACCTTCATTTGCAGGCACTGGGGACCATACATATGATCGTAGATTGCGTCTTGGTGGACCATTATTGAAGGAAAATATTGCAACTATGGTGCTAGAGAGGTTAGAGTTAATCTTGTATTGTTAGTCAATCTAGTAGGTGAAATCTATTAGATTGTGTTGTACAAGCTACAAGAGATGTTTGATTTTGAACATGCAATTTTCAGCCCTTTCTATGGACGGAGACGGCCCATGCTGCAGCGTGGTTCAAAGCTCTTGTGTGTTAGTGACCTGCTTTTATTAGGTAGAGCAACCATTGACGAGACACGTAGTCTTTTACATTGGTTAGAGTGTGAGGCAGGGTTTGGAAAGATGGGTGTTTGTGGACTTAGTATGGGTAAGAACAATTTGGTTTTACAATTCTTTTTACTTACCTTTCCTGGTGACCATCCTGAAGTAGACTGATTAAGCGGCTTAAAATCAATGTTAGTTCAGAGTTCAGAGATCAAACAAGGCCCTAGATTTTTGTCCATTTTCCTCTTCAAAAATTTTGATGCTCTTATTGAATCTAGGAGGAGTACATGCTGCAATGATTGGATCACTGCACCCCACACCTGTTGCAACCCTTCCTTTTCTCTCTCCACACTCTGCTGTTGTGGCATTCTGTGAGGGGATATTAAGGTATGGCACTGCCTGGGAGGCACTGAGAGAGGATCTTGCAGTGCAAAAGACTGCAATGACTCTCGAGGAGGTGAGAGAACGGATGCGAAACGTGCTGTCTCTCACAGATGTCACACGCTTTCCAATTCCCAAGAATCCCAATGCTGTAATATTTGTTGCTGCTACTGTAAGTATCATATCTCTGTATCACCAGATGCTATTTTAAGAAAACGTGAGGAATTGGTGATTGTTACCTTCTTCAGTCAACCATTATATTTTTCTAGTTGGCTATCAATTTCTCCACTTAGCATCAGCATGTTTTATCAAGTCTATGTTTTTACCAGTAGACTGCAAGTTACCATGCCAATATATGCTGGTTTGGACAGCCTAACAGGTCATATGAACGTTGAACCTACTGATAGGCACTTCTCAGACTATTTAGTAAATTAGTCCCCATAGTTTCTAGGAAGTGTTGCTACCTTGGATATACATGCATTATGTCATTTTTGTTTTAGGCTGCTTCTACTGTTTATAGTTTTCAAATGCCTAATATTGGTTCCAACCTTAATCAACTGTAATTGTGTTTTTAGGATGATGGTTACATACCAAAACATTCTGTCTTGGAGCTTCAAAAAGCTTGGCCAGGTTCAGAGGTGAGATGGGTTACTGGAGGACATGTCTCGTCCTTCCTTCTGCACAATGATGAATTTCGGAGAGCAATTGTTGACGGGCTTAACAGATTAGAGTGGAAGGAGCCTCCATTGTGAAATGGATCACATATGAAGAACACTGTTGTTGTAATCTTCTTTACCCGTAGTTCTTGCTAAACTTGCACTATGTATTACGGGCTTAACAGATTAGAGTGGAAGGAGCCTCCATTGTGAAATGGATCACATATGAAGAACACTGTTGTTGTAATCTTCTTTACCCGTAGTTCTTGCTAAACTTGCACTATGTATTACAGCTGGTATCAAGGAGCACCCCCAGAGAGAGGGAAACATGGGGTGTTTTTTGAATTATTTGTTCGCTTTGATTGTAAAAGGAACAACACTGATTTAGGGAATAATGTATGTGGCATCATTGGAATTAACAAAAAAAAAAAATCTGAAATAATCACGAAAGGTCTTTTCTCTATTTTGGTTATGGTGTTCTGATTCTGCAAAATTGGTGGCAACTGCTATTGATGCTTTGCAAACTTGCAAGTGCATTTTCAATCCAACGCTCGCAAATTTAGGAACGCCTTAATTATATGTGAATACATAGCTGTTAGACTTGGTAAAAAAAAAACACGGCATCTATGTGGATAGTTTGCCTCTAAAATACGCAGTTTTTTAGTCAATATACTCCAATTCCCAGGATTTGTGTCGTTTATCTAGGGTTTGCTCTGCAAGGCTGAAATCAGAAAGCACTAGTTCCATCAGGGTATTGGGGTACTTCGCATAAAACCTTTTCTTATATATCAGGCATCGTATCATGACCTCTAAGACTCATTCTGAAAAAACGAGGTTGTGAAAAGACGGCAGGAAAAAGTACTTGCAATCATTGGCATGTTTTAAGTTTAAGAGACTCGGGTAAAAAGAAATGGGGAAGCGGGAAACCCCTAGCTAGCTATTAGAAGTTCGTCCGATGTTATCCAATAGTACATGGTAGTTTAAGTTACGAACATTGGCATTTGAAACTTATTTGTTTTTTGTTATTATTAATTTTTTTAGTTTTTTGGGTTATAACTGGAAAGGAGCTGCAAGAATGTTTGGCAGTCTCCTTCGTGGCTTCATCCCAACAGCATCATAAAAAGGAAAAGCAGGGTACAAACACTGGCTTGCAGCATGTCTCTTAGGCCAGCTGCATTGGTTTTTATTTAGCAGATAATTGTAAATAGGAGAAACGATAAAAAAGGGATACGTTTTTTCCACTCATACCACTTGAAGGTAGATGCGAGTGGCAAATCCTTAATCAGGGAAATGCTTTTCCAGCCGCTGCCTATTTGCAGCTTTCCAGTGGAGTGCCACACAAGCACCTGTTATGGAAATATGCTGTGTAATCTAAGCTCTGCAACTTACCACCTTGGGGAATCTGACCGCAAAGCCTGTTGTAACTCACGTTCAAGGACAGGAAAGTTAACTGAGTCATCTGAGTAGGAATGCTTCCGAAAATCTTGTTGTGGTTAACATCCAAATATGTCAAGGTGCTTGGAAACACCAGCTTTGAAAAATTAAACTCCAGCAAATTCCTTGATAGATCCACACTTCCAGTAGTTTTGTTTGGCCCAAAAAACATTGAAGCATCACCTTCAAGTCTGTTGCGCGAGAAATCAATCAAACGAAAGTCTCTGTTGTCTAAGGAAGCAGGGATTTTACCAGAAAGCTGGTTATGAGACAGGGAAATACCCGGTACCCTGCCTACGAAGTTGCCAAATGAATCTGGGATAGGACCAGTAAGCTTGTTCCTGTCCAAGGAAAGAATATCAATTTCCGGCATTAAAGCGAGTGAGCTTGGTATTGATCCTGAAAGGCTGTTGAAAGACAGATCCAATACTCTCAGATTCTTGAGTTCGCTAAAAGAGTCGGGTACTGAGCCAGTGAGGTTGAGCCGGCTAAGTGTGAGTGAAATGAGGTGTGTGAGCTTGGAAATGGAGGTTGGTATGCTGCCGGTAATATTTGTCAGCTTGTGGAACTCGAGAGTCGTGAGATAGGGCAAGTCCCCAACTTCAGCAGGGATTTCACCAGAAAGGTTACCAGAAAAAAGCCTTAGGGAAACTATGCGGTTGGTGGTGCGGTCACACTTCACCTGGTTCCAAGTTGTGCAGCAATCAGTGTCCGACAGCCATGAGGCTAGGAAGTAAGGATCGCCAAAATGTTTTCTAATTTGGAGGAGCACTTTTTTATCATGGGAATTGCAAAGTTCTTTTGAAAGAGTGAGCGAAAGAAGATTGAAAATAAGTAGGGAAACGAAGAGGGTTTTCATGTTTTGGATTGTGAGAAATGATAAGCTGGTATTTCCATTTATAGGGATAGGGGTGCCATGTGAGCCATTATTATCTTGGCGGGTCATCAAGTTCATTATTTAGAGCTCAACTTGATGCCATCTTTTGACTTGGATGTTCTGGAAACAGATCGAGTAAGAGGGCAGCAGCCATCAAGCTGCCAAAGGAATAATTGTTGCTTGGATTTATTTCTGTTTATAGATGGACTAGGGACAGAGGATCCTAAAAGGAGTACTAGAGTCATACACTCTTTAAGCATAATAACCATAGAAATTTGCTTGGCCAACTTTGGAGTTTTCGTATCTGACTTCTGACTGCCCCCATGATGTTACAATAATCAAGTGCCGGCTATATAATATATGTGGCATTAGTCAAAATAATATTTTAGAGACTCTTTTTAAAATAAATAAATATTAAATATTATTTAAAATTTATTTTTTTTTGCTTTATGAGATGTAAAATCTCTAATTAAATTTTTGTATTCAAGTTTACAAAGCAAATCTTTTTCAATTGATAATATAGTCAAATTACTTAATCTTTCTTGTGACATAGTTGAATGTAAATAAGATTTTATTAATTTTAATTTTGAAAAACTTCTTTCAGCCGAAGCTACAGAATGAGAGATAGTTAATAGTATTCTATATGCTATCCATGCATTTGAAAAAGAATTTACCTTTTTTTATAAAATTTAGTACGGCAAATGGTATTTTCATTTCCATAGTTATTATTTCTTTTAAAACTTTTAATTCTGAAAATAAATATAAATCATCAATATCGAAAGCATATCTTACTTTAGAAAGTTTTCAAGATTTAAACAATTTTTTTTCAAAATATCATCATCGAGTGATTTTAATTTTTCTACACTATAAAGAAAACCAAAATTATCTTCATACATTTTAAATTGTTCAAACCTATTATCTTTCATTTCCACACCCTTCATTTGCTAATTGAATATTTGATTTCAAACTAAATAATTTACAACAATAACAAAACACTTTATCTAACTCTTTTGAATATACTAGCCATTTTCTATCATGTTTTTCTCCATTTGATAATTTTCGAATGTAATGAATTGTAGAAAAATATCTAGAGTTTTTATCTCTTGGAAAATCTAAAATTTCTCTAATTGAACCTTTCTCAACTAATAAATCAATCGAGTTTTGAGTCTAAATTTTTTTATTATGCTTGGATCGTAAATATTTTTAATTATTGTTGCATCTTCATCATTAATATTTTCACTGTTATTGATTGAAACATCATCTTCTAAATTTTCATCATATTCTTTATTACTTTTTGGTGAATTTGAATTGTTATCTTCAAATTTTTCTTCACAATTTTCAACTATATTTTCATTTAAATCTTTTTCTTGTTCTTCTAGTATTTGAGGTTTAATATTAGTAACAAATCTATCAAGTGCACCTTTTTGGGATTGAATTAGTTCTTCTACCTTTCTTTTTTCTTATGTTTTTCATATCCAGATTCATACTTTCTAGTAAACATTTTATTCAAATAATAAAATTAAAATATAATTATAAAAAAAAAAGAAACTTTGGCACCTGATTATATTTGTTTGCCACGCCTAATCAAGTAAACCTGGAGAGAATCACCTAAGAAAATGAAAAGAAATTTGAGAAAAAAATAAAATATTATATGATATATATATATATATAATTTTATTTGCATAAATTAAAAAATTACCTTTAGATTTTTCTCGCCAAACTAATTAGAAAAGGTTTTATAAGAGATCCCCGATTGTTTGGAGAAAGAAAGGAATATAATAAAAAAAATTTGGAGATCTAAAAATTGTTTCACTCACAAATATTTTTCCGAAACTTTTCCGTAAGTAAAAGTGGAGGCTGCAGACTTTTAATTTATCTCATTCTTTTAGGGTGTAGGTTTAGGGTAAAATTTTAATTGTGACCCTCCTTTCTATGGGGGCCCTAGGCATAGGCTTTAATGGCCTATGCCTTGAGCCGACTCCGATCAAGTGTGGAAACTTTTTGACAAAAACGAATTATTATTATTATATTATTATACCATAACCTAAAGTAAAACGGATTTTTCATTATAGCAACGAACAATAATGAAATTGTGCTTTAGTTTTTTTTTTAAATTTTCGTTTTTTTTTAGCCGACTCCCTTTGGCCTTCTTTTCCTTTTTTGTTCGGTTAATGTTCATTTGAACAAGTAAACAACTTCTCCCCTCTTTTTTTTTTTTCCTTTCTAAACACCGAACATATTTTTTAAAATTTCGTCCGTTTACTCGTTCATATGAATAGTAAACGAGTGACTTTTTTTTTTCCCTAAACATTGAATTTTTTTTTCGTTTCTTAATAATGTTGGGTGTTAAAATTTTTAAAAAAATCAACAATTAATTGGGTGTTAAAATTTTAAAGAAACCAACAATTTATTTTCTTTATTATTTATTTCTAAAATTTAAAATATCTAATTTTTCTTTTGGTGTGACTATTTTTTTTTATTTTCGTTTCGAAAAGTGAATGGTTTTTTTTTTTAATTTTTGTTTCGAATAATGTTAGGTGTTAAAATTTTAAAGGAACCAACAATTTATTTCCTTTATTATTTATATCTAAAGTTTAAAATATCTAATTTGAAAAAATAATGTTTTTTTTTCAAAAAAAATTATGTCTATAAGCACATACTATCACATAACATAATTTATTAATTAACAATTACATAAGATGCATTCCTCAAAAAAAAAAAAAATACATATATTATAACAAAGAATTTTATCACTCATATTTTTTCATTTATTACTATTTTCATTAATTTTTCATTTCTTTTAAATTCTCATCCAATTAATTTAAAATTATATTTACTCATAGTTTTGATTTTTTTAAAATATTATTCATCTAATTAATAAAAATTAAATTTATATTTTTTTCAAAAATTGATATTCTCATCAACATGAAATAAAAAAATATTTGTTCAATTCTATAAAAGCTTTTAGTAATTGTGATTTTTGTTTTTCAACACAACCTTATAAAATATTAAAGCTTTTTTAAAAAAATTATTTAATTTTTTTTTAGTTAATAATCCATGGATTAACAAGGATAAATCATTTTTGTAAAGAAAAATATATGAAAAATATAAATAAAAAATAGTTAAATAAAAAAAATTTATTAAAAAATTATAATTATTTTTTTATTTTTTATTTAATATATTATTATAGATTCACACTATAAAATAGATTATTAAATTAAAATAATTTTTTAAATAATTTTATATATTTTATTCAATATCTAACATAACACTGGTAAAAAATATAATAACTAAGCTATAAAAAAATGGCACGGTGGCGGAGTGGAACTGTTTTTATTTATTTATTTTTGGAACAGATATGGAGTGGATATTACTGTGTCAGTTTGCCACTTTACATGGCTATAGTCAGCAAGTTTTAACTGGCGGCCTGGTCAACACTGATGGCCTTGTTTCTTATCTGATATGAGCTGGATCTCAAATTCAAGATTTGACTAAAAGGAAGAGTTGAACAGATCAGAATATATATATATATATATATGAGCTGGATCTCAAATTCAAGATTTGGCATATGGGATGGAACTCAAATTCGAGCTTCGCTTTAGCTAATCTTGAATTTGAGATCCAGCTCTCATACATATATGAGAGCTGGATCTCAAATTCAAGTGTATATATATATATAAAGGAGCTTAACTGAATAAATGAAGCAGATATTGGATAAATTAACGAGTAAGTGTTATACCAAAATTTGATTTGGGCTTGATAGCCCAATAAATTAGAAGGAAATAGCTTATGGTTTTTCTTTTGAAGGTGTTTTCTCACCCTCTTTTTTTATTGGTCTCACTTAAACCTATTTCTTAACTGGTCACTACAGAGCTTATATCTAGTTTAAATCCCAACACATGGTGAGTTTGCAGGCCGAAAGCATGATCCAGATGAAACAGACTTGGAGATTTTAAAAAGTGAAAATAAAGCAACTTTCTAGTAAGAGATGTGTGAGACTTAGATTCTTAACAAAATTAAATTATGGGCAGATACGGAAGGAGAAATTCCTCATTAACAAGAAAACCAATTAGCAAACAATTAACAGAAGAGTAGTAGGAATTTAATACTAATAAAAACACAATCTGAACAATTATGAAGAACTTGAGATACTGCAACACAATAATAGCAGAACAGTTACAAGAAACATAGAATATGACAACATAAGAAAAAAACTGCAACGTAAGAATAGAAAACTGTAAAAAAAATATGGAGCAGCACTAGATGCATGACAAAATAAAAAAAAGAATGTGTTTCACACAAACAATTGAATTTGTAAATTACAAACAACTCTCATGACATTTATTCAAGTTTCAACATACTTGAAATTTGTTAATAGCTAGTATGCAGTAATTTGTATATAGTAATTCACTAGCAGCAATCAAATAAGTTGATAATTCGCAGATCGGTAGTTAGTTCCTAATTCTCATCTTGTGTTTGCAACGATCGTGATTCTAAATTTTTGTAAGAGTATTATGTCTTGAGTGTTGTTAACATTCACTGTTCTCAATGATGTAAATTCTTTTTTTCAAACCGAGTATTGTAAGAGCTGTAACATTGTGATTTTGTTAAGGATTTCAAATATATATTTTCTAGGTCATACTCGTAACCCTTCTTTTCTTGCATTTAAATTATTTAATATTTTAATTTTTAGTTTGAATTTGTTATATTAATTGCAAATTAGCCTAAGATCAGTTTGAATTATTAGTTTAGGATAGTTGTTGTTGCAAATAATGTCCTTACAAACTTGCAACCCAACCAGCTTGGACAATTCGTAGACATCTTTTAAGAGTTTGCATACTAATTGCAATTCGTTTAATTTAAGGTTATATTAAAAAAAAGATCAATGAATCATGGTAACATATAGTGATATGTTTAGAATAATTAATTAGGTTACTTTTGAGTCTAGAAGTTAGACTCGCAACTACTATCCAACCATTATT